ATTCAGGTACAGTTAAATGTAAAATATATCTAGGGACAATGAATGCAAACCCCACGCCCAGCATAATGTACTAAACTTTGGAAAGCAGTGACTTTCAAGAAGAATTAGGGGCAAAGAGAAGAACTAAAGAAATCCTTATGCTCTGACTAAACAAACACTTATGCTGTCACTAAATACATACATGAATGGCAGCAATAAGAGATAAAAAAATTTAACTGCAAGTCTCTCATTGACATGACTGATACATAAATAATTCATTCCAGTCCAGTAGCCCCATTTTAAATGGGTATTGAAAGTGTAAAAAAAAAAGCCACAAGAATGCATTAAATTTTTTTTCAATGAGAGAGAGCAAATTCAGTTTATTCACTGAAAAGAGGTGATTTGAATACCATGCATAAATGTCTGGGATGAAAGGAAAATAAATGCCTATTAAGATCCTTTAACCTTGTGGAAAAAGCCATAGGAAGAAGTGTCTGGAAGCTGAAGCCAGGCAAATTTAAATAAGGCATGCTGGAGTTACCTTAGATGAACATTAAAAGTTATTAGATGAACTACTGGAAAGAGTTGCTTTTGAAAGCCACTTCTGCTTCATTTTAAAGTATTTTCCATGGAGTGTCTTACCAGGCCAAATATCTTTAAAAGTGACCCAGTAGTATGCAGATACCTGAATATGTCATTAATGTGTAGGTGCCAAAAGAATTCTTGCATGTTTCAAGATTCAGACATCAGTACAAGATCTTTACAGAAGGAGTGATACAGGAACTGGGACTTTGTAGTCATTAATTCTGAATTTTTCTAGCTTTTCACAGATACAGAAACACCTCTGGAAGGCAAGGAACTTTCATGGATTCATTCTAGACTTTTCCTCAAGTTGCAGCCTTTATCTACATTCATATATTACTTATGGAAGAAAAATAAAATATGGATTTGTGAATTTGAATAAAATATTGAACCTTTCAGGTGCTGCAAAACATGTTCTTACAAAATGGCATGATTTATGTGTGAACTTCCTTGTGACTAATATAAGTGGGACAGGGGAACGCTGCAGCCTCTCCCTAGCACCTGAAAATTTGTTGTTTCCTTCCCTCTGGATAGCACTACTACTGGAGCTCCCAGTGGCAACTTCACCTGTTCTCACTTTGTGTGGAATATCCACAAGGATTCACAGGCTTCCCTCTTACATGAGTTTTGAATTCCTGATTGCAGGGTCATTGTTGTTTCCTAATCTATTCTGTCTGCTTTTTGATACAGGTTGACTCACACTTCCCTATTTGAAATCAGTGTTCCACCATGACCATCTGCTTCAATATTACTTTCTTCTGCTTCATAAATATGAAAGAGAAAAAATAACTCTAAAAATAACTCTAAATGTGAAAAGAGAGATTGCCCTAAGATGATTCTATAAGATTGATCATGACATATTAAAGTAGAAATTTAAGGCCGCCCTGATTTACTATATCCAACTAACCATTTTCAGGACAGCACTTTAACATTAGCTGGCAATAGAATATGAGCTGACATATTAATTGATAGCAAATGATTCAAATATATTTTAAAATGTAGCTTACTGCTTTGCTATACTATACTGGCTATGCTTTGTCTACGCTGTCTTGATAAGTAAAGGTTTTCTGTTCCCCAGATGCACATCAGTGTTAGCATGGGTAGCAGCATACTTGTGTTATGAGCACATCTCAGGAGGGTGTCCCTGCTTGGGGTCATTGGTTTCCTCAGAGCCAGGATGTCACTCTATTAATGAGAGCTTCACATCCAGCGTTACTGGTTGCTGATGTGGAGGTTTCCCTGTCCTCTCATTTCTTGAAAGACTGGGGCAGGCTTGGGTGCCAGCAGCCAGGACTGGCAACCTGTCACTAGTGGGGTTCCACAGGGCTCCCTCTTGTGCCATGTGCCCTTCAGCACCTTCATAAATGACTTGGATGCAGGACTGGAAGGGACACTAAGCAAGTTTGCAAGTGACATAAAACTAAGAGGAGCTGTTGACCCCTTCGAAGTCTGGGAGGCCCTGCAGAGGCATCTTGACAAATTAGAGGACTGGGCAATCACCAACCATATGAAGTTCAACAAGGATTCTGCACCTAACTTGGGGCAACCCCAAATGTATGTACAGGCTGGAGAATGAAATGCTGGAAAGAAATGCCATGGAAAGGAACCTGGGGGTCTTGGTTGATGGCAGGTGGAATATGGGTCAGCAGTGCCCTGGAAGCCAGGAGGGCCATCCATGTCCTGGGGGATATCAGGCACAACATCGCCAGCCGAGCAAGGGAGGGGATTGTCCCACTCAGCTCTGCACTGGGACAGCCTCAGCTTGAATATTGTGGCAGTTTTGGGCACCACAATATAAGAAAGATATTAAAGTATTGGAGAGTGTCCAGAGGGGGGCAACAAAGATGGGGAAAGGCCTTGAAGGGAAGTCAGTGAGGAGCAACTGAGGTCACTTGTTCAGCCTGGAGGAGACGGAGGGGAGACCTCATTGCAGTTACAACTTCCTTGTGAGGGGAAGAGGAGGGGCAGGCACTGATCTCTTCTCTGTGGTGATCAGTGACAGGACCCCAGGGAATGGCCTGAAGTTGTGTCAGGGAAGGTTTAGGTTGGATATTAGAAAAAGGTTCTTCACCCAGAGGGTGGTTGGGCACTGGAACAGGCTCCCCAGGGCAGTGGTCACAGCACCAAGGCTGACAGTTCAAGAAGCGTTTGGACAGTACTCTTGGGCACATGGTGTGACTCTTGGGGATGGTCCTGTGCAGGACCAGGAATTGGACTCAGTGATCCTTGTGGGACCCTTCCAACTTGGCATATTCTGTGATTCTGTGAGTTTTCAAGGCAGTGCTAGACATTGCCTGACTGAAGAACAAATCTGTGGCTATGTGCAGTTTGTGAACCTGAATTTCATGAATTGCCTTTACTTGTCACTTCAAAATTAGAACAGCAAGGTAACAAACAAAACAAATAGCTAATAAAGGAGGTGATAGTATCATACATAAGCCAAATGCACACACCTGTAAGAATTTACATGCAAGGTTGTCAGGGAACTTGAATTCCATTCTATTACTCCCAAACTTACTTGCAAAACTACACTGTTGTTGATAGTGGGAAACAGAAGAGCTTTTGCTTCATTTTTATTTATTCCTTATATGTGATGCTGTTCTTCAGTGAGATATCTGGCACACTGTTCTTAGCACTATTAGTGAAATTCTGTATTTATTGGGAATTTTCCTCTCATTTCAGTGAATTCTACTTTATATTGTGCAAGGGAATATAGTGTAATGGATTATTTAGCAAGAAAGCCTCAGTATATGCAGAACAGCACAGGAAATTCATTTTTACTGAATGCATAAATTTAGAAAACACAAAACAAACAAAACATGCATTTAGATATGCTGACATGAAAAAAATTATGGAGAATAAGATAGTTCTGGTTCCCAATGGAGAAAACAACCTCTCTTAGCAGAATCTGTCTTTATCCCTTTCCTTTGAAGAAAAGATTTTGGACTGTTCTTCACCAGAAAGAATGACAGACTTCTTGGGTTGGGTCTGCATACCATGTGTGTGACTCTAATGGTGGATGGGTTATCTCTCTGCTCATGTTTTCATATATTGATATATAATTATATGCATTGTGTATACAAACATGCAGGTACTGAGTTATAAAAAAAAGAGGAGATCAGCCTCACATTTGTGCCAAAAATTCCTGCTACACAATCTCAATCTCAATCATTATCTTTTTTCCTGAGACCTTCTCTGTTTTTTGAGAATTGTTGAGAGATGTCTGTGTTTGCTGTGCTTTTCTGTTGTTTTCTGTAACTGTGTAAATTTAACATTGCATGCAAAATAGAACAGTCGGGGTTCTGTGTGCAGGAGTTGAACTCCATTGGTTTCATACATCATTCACACACAATCTTCTTCCTACAATTGGCATTCATTTCTTTTATCCTACACACCCTCTAAAAGAAAGATTTCTTCTCTTCATGAGCACTGGGAAAATTGGTACTAGGGGATTCCTAATTGTGTAGGAGAATCAGATATTCAAATTAGAAAAAAAGGAAAGCATTTGAGGATGATTGTATTACTGATTTCCAGGAGGCCCTACAATTATTTCTGTTTGGGATGGGAAAAGATTAAAATGCCATTTGCATGACTGATGTTAAACCTTCTATCTTGCAGTCTTGTAAATGAATTACTGCCTCACAGGTGCTTCATGTTATGAAAACATTTTACATTCAACTGGAATAATTGAGCATTTAACTTCGAAGTTACAACCTGCCCAGGGTATTAATTTGTCAGGTCCACACTGGAGCTGAAGAAATGTCAAAAGAATTGGCTCAGGATGGAGCTGTCATGCACCATAAAATATTCCATCTTGTCTGCAGTCTCTACTACAGATCTTGAATCAAAATTTCTCATAGTTCAGGGGAACTCAGATACCTGACAACCATTGAAGAATGTTTATCCTGCTTGAGCAAGACTTCTGGGTAGTATCACAAAATGAGGAGCTATTATATTGTACCACTGCCAGCTTGCTCTATTGCTTTTAAATTGGTTTTCTATGCACAAATAGCTATGGAGCTAGGGTATGTTCCTCATACAGATAGTTTTTTAATCTCCTTTAAATTAAAAGTGGGCTGTGAAGTGGGTTTTATTTTGGAATCACTGTGGCAATGAAAGCTTGCAAAGAGATAACAGCCCTGGTAATGCAAGCCGGAGTAATGCGCAAGTGATTTCATTCACTGACTTTACAATGTTCCTGCTGGTTACAGAACCGTTTGGCATTAAGGTCATCATTGGTTTTAGGATCTGCTGAGAAATGCAACAAACCACCTTAAATTTTATGTTTCAGATGTTTGTGATTCAAAATCAGTGAAAAAGATTTCACCATTTGGGGCTTTTTTTTATCTTTTTCATACCAACGATCAGGTGATGCGTGGGGCACAGTTAAACAAAGAAAACTGAGATAAACCTAATGGATGCATGGCATCTGGGGACAACCTGCTTGTAGCTGCTGAAGGATTCACCCTTCATGAGCTTAAGGTAGCTTTTTCTTCATTTGGCAAGGATGATTTCATGACGACAAAGCCTTTAGAAATAAAACTCATCAACTCAAGTAATGCATTAGTGATCTTTTCATCACAACAGAAACTTGATTTTGCATATTATATTTGGCTACTAAAATAATTTGCCTGATTAAAATGCATGCAGAGAACATATGCAAAAATAAATTGTGAAGTAGTGATTTATTCTCAATATTTACTCAAAACCTTTCTTCTTAGAATCTGGTAACTTATCGCTTCAACTATATCTTTACCTTAAAAATTGTGATGGCATTTATAACACCATTGCCTCAAAATTATTTAATTTGTTCAGTGTTCCATTTTTAATAAAATGAAGCTTTTTTTTTTTTTTTAAACTTTGCTTGCATAGATTTAGAAGGGAAAAAGATGTATTTGTAATTAAAATCTGAAATTTCTGATTATTTCTGTACAGCTTCTCCATAAAATCTTGATATTGTGCTTGAGATAGTTCTGAAATACTTGTGGGCTAAATATCTCTGAAAACATACATTAAACAGGAAACTGGTTCTATTACCATTACTAGAGTAAAATATTGTTGTTAAATCTTTCCAATAAATCATTCAATGAGGCAGTTATTTAATTTCTCTGACCTAATGTCTTCTGCTACTTTTAATTAAAAATGTATCTAATCAAGTAAACATTATTATGAGCAAAACGTTTTCTACTTATGAGTTTTCAAGTGTCAGCAAACACATCTGGAACTTTGCTTAATAGATTATAAAAGCGTCCAAATTTGCCAAGAACAAAAATATAGACAGGAAATTTTCGAAGAAGGATGAGGTCTTGTGTTTATTGAAAGAAGTCTACAGAGGTGATAGATAACATAATGAGGGCTTCATTTACCCACCAGCAGTAGACCATTAATTTTGCTAAGTAAGTGCTTTAAGAGAAGCAAAGACATGCTGAAATTTCAATTGACCTGATTTCTATGTTTTTGGCACTTTCTATAAAAAAGTGCATACCAAAACCTGCAAATTTGTAGAGAATTGAGCAGCTATTACTAAGTCCACTGAGTGACACAGTCAGAAGACAATGCTGGTTTACCACAGGTCTAACCACACAAGACTAAGAACTGTAGCTTTTGTTCAGGGAAAAAATGAAATGTGTTAGTCTGGGAGCGTGCTCCAGTGGGGCATTAAAAATTCAAACTAAGGTAAAGAAATGTTTTTTGCCACAACTGGATGTGCATCAGAGCCCCAGCTCCCTGTTGTTTCCTAGAGCCATGGCAGCAGCAGAGATAAGTGTCTCAGGCTGGTTCAAGGTGAGGGTCTGAAGCAAGGTGTTATATCTACACCAAGCAATTCATGGTAGTACAGAGACACCTCAAGTAGCAGGAAAGCCAGGTTGTAGATGAGCATGAAATGGTGACTTGGAGACGCCCACAGTCACTACTGTCACTCATTTACACAGAACTGCGTTTATTTTTTTATGTTGTAGTCTTTGAGCTATTTCAGAAGTTGTATTTTCTGCTGAAAGGAAAACAGAATCTTGTTGGTTGCTACCATTAACCTGCTTGCTGGGGTCAGCGAGGACCTCGACAAGGTTTTTTTCTCTTTGCTGTAGGGGTGAGCACTGGGAACTTGAGAGGGGAGGCAGATGTTGCCTGTTGTCAAGAATCAGCAGCACAGTTACATCAAAATGATCCTTCATCTGGCTGGGCTTTGCCTGGAAGGACCATCCCACAGTGAACAGAGGCACAAATCAATCACACAGCAGCTGGGTTTGCTTAAGCTCCAGGAAGTGCTTAAATTAGGATTTGTATTTCTCTAGGTCCTCTGCACAACTAATAGATGATAGGGCCATGTCCAGAGTGTGATTTAGCTAATCCAGCAAATTAGCTAATCCAAATCCAAGCAACTCCCATGTTCAGCAAAATTGCATTCATGTAGATCACAAAGAAGCTGGGACTAAAAATATGTAAAATAAGGTTCCTAAATATCTTTTCAACATTTTTTCTGTGCTTTTTACAAATTCTAATTGAAGCCAGTGGTTTACATGTGATATCTTTTATCAGCTAAGGATAACAGCACTGACATCATTGAAAGTTTGCCATGAGAAGACTCAGTTAATGTCTATTAATAATTTGATAACTAGTTTGAATGGACTATTCAACAGATAGTTATTCCATTATTATATTCCCTGACAGTCTTTCTTTCACTCTTCTGAAAACAAAACCTTATGTTATTAGCTAATGTTCATTATGTAAAGTTGCTGAACTCTTGGTTCTCAAATTGAAGGGGATTAGTAAGAATAACAATGGGATACACCTAACAGAAATAATAGAATTTTCGTTTAGATATTATTTAGATTGCATCATGACTGACTGCAGAAGTGTCACTGTTCAAATGATGTTTAATGCTCAACTAGAAACTTATGAAATCTCAGTTTTGGTTTGTAAAACTCAGTATTTGGGAGCAACTTCTAAAATACCATTTGATAACCTGTGGTTTTTATTCCTAATTAATAATGCATCAGCACTCTCTTCTAGTGAAAAAAAATCTTTGTTCAAAGTGCTGATAGGCAGCAAGGTATCGTGAATGTTGTCAGACTTAAAGCATGCAACTTTATCAAACGGAGAGTAAACCCATGTTGTAACTGCTCTGTACAGGAATGTCACAATGGGAACCTCTGTTTAGAGAAAGGCATCTCAAGGGCACCAAAAGAGCTTTATTCACAGGCTTCAAAGTGAAGCTGCTTTTAATTTAAAGGCCTGTTTGGTTTTCTAGAACAGCTGCTAATCTGTTTCTATGGGATACTCTGCTGATACACTGCAGAGTGCTTTCTGCCTACTCTAACTTCTTAGTTACCTTTGCGTTCACTACAAGGATTTCAGGGAAAAAGGTTAGGAAGTCTTGGGTTCTGCAGGCAAACAGTGAAATGAATTCTTGTGTTCCTAGGCAGAGTTGGACATTAACATCCATTTTTTAATGTAAAATTTCAGCTTCTTTGCAGTTCCTGAGGAGTGTTCCTTTGACTGAGTGATGATGGTCCTGGTCCTTGTGCCAGGTCTGTAACAGGAGCCACCACGGTATTCTGGCCAAAAAATCCCTATTGTGTCATGCAGGAAATCAACAGCTCAGCTCCCACATGGCATTGATTTGTGATTTAGATGATGGTTTGTGCTTGTGGGTCCATGCCTGGGCTGTGGACTTCCCTGCTGGCATCTTCTTTGTCTTTCACATTTCCCTACTTCAAATGCACTGGCTTCAAAATTAGCATAATTTTCCCGAGACACTCAAGTGTGTTCTTGTGAGTCACATTAACAATATGCAAATATTTTGAATATTTTTTACAAGTTTTTTTGGTTTGGTTTGGTTTGGTTTTTTCTGGGACACAGTGCTTCCTGTCATAAACCAGAGTGCAGTCTAATATCTAGTCCAATAAATTTTCAGTGGAAGTGCTTGGAAATCGTGGATGTGCTGTTTGTTGAAACGAAGTTTCATTTTGTCAGGGAGTTGAAGGCTCTGAACTATACACTCTAAAATTATCCTGTAGGGTGGCAGTTGTGTACACAACAAAACACCTATACTAAAGAATCATAAACTTTACGCAACATCTACAAAGTATCACATTTTTCAGTGTAGATCAGAGTTCCTGAGGGAACAGGGGACCTCAGGAAAGAAAAATCTCATTAAGTTACTGCTATTGTTCTCCTATTGCAAAATTAAAAATGATGGTAAATCTAATCTGCATGACATCTGAAATACAGACAGGACTGTGTTCCTTATGACTTTAATTAAAAGTATTACAATATTTATAAGTTTATACTTGTGTAAATGTATTCACAACTGCCAATTACTAATTATATATACAACTCTATTTAGCTGTTGTCTTCATGAAGATGAAGTGTATGAACAGGAGAAAGAACCATTCTAGGTTTTATTTTTGTGTCATTCTACAAGTGCTCTCTTGGAAGTCATCTTATAAGCATCTAACTACATGTAGTCTTAACTAGTATTTGTGCCTTCAGTGCTTTCAGCTGATATTATATGAATTTCCTAGGAACTTTACTCAAGTAAATTGCCATATTTAGCAGTCTTATCTTCTCAGATTCTTTTTCAAGCCATGGGAATTATTTCTTGCTGTGCTAAGGCAGCAGGGTTTTCTCTCTTAATTCTTATAATTCCATTAAGTAAACCTGCTGAGCAAATAGCTGTTATTATAATAGTGTAGATTTTCTACTGCTTCATTGGAGTGAAAATAAGGTTGATAATTGACCAATATGTTATAGTATTTATCCAGTGTCTTAATGTAATGCATCCCCAATTCAGGTGTTCTGTTTGTTACCAATAAATACCAAAAAGAAAGGGCCAAATCAACAAGCAATTCTGATTAAAGAGGAATGAACCACATAGGCTGTGACTTACTAGTCAACACAGAACTGTCCTCCAAAGGAGAGTCTCATTCTTACTCTCAGGGTTTCAGTTTGTTGGTTACTTCTCTACTTTTTAAAATTTCTTTTATATATTCTTACAATGCTGATCACTCCATGAGTTTTAGGCAAAGGTTTTAAAGGAGTCAGATAAATGTATGCATGCAAATCGAACTGATTTTGCATTCTGTGAGTGAGTTTTTTTCTTACACTGGAATTTTCCTTGCTTCTCCTTGAGTCATCAAGAAATGCTGACTTCTTGGAGTAAGGGCTAGTTAGAATGAACCTCTTCCAGATACTCCAAAAGAAAGAGGAGGAAATCCAAGTTACTCTGAATACAGTGGAATAGGCTCTGTGGTCTTCCACTGCAGAGTCATTGAAGTGCAGAATGAAATTCCCTGTCATCATTCCTCACTAAAGATTAAGCTCTGTAAGAGATCCTGCTACCACAGGGGTTGTTTCCCTAAATAAATGCAGCTGCTAGAGAGGATTAACATTTTTAATGGCAGCATTTGCACCATCTTTTCAATACAAGACCATGGATATCAATCTCTTTCCTGTCTCCATTCAGATAGTGGCCTATAAAA